GATCGCTTCGCACGCCCCGAGATGGTAGTGCTGGACGAACTGGCGTCAATCCGCGCTCTACCAAAACTTCAAACAGACATGAAGGATCTCAACATGTTTTCTTGTAGAGTGCAAAATTTGGTTGCCACTATTAAGTATTTAGATCAGGTTCCTTACTTATATTCACCGGAACTGTTTAATTGCTTACTTTTGAAATTAACACCCTTATTACGTACATTATTCGCGCATTATGCTTCGAAACATTCGAGCAGTCATACTAAACTCGAACTTTTATCAAAATTTCTAAGCGAAGAAGCTAGAAATCACATACATTTTGGCCTAGTTTCCCAAACTTATGATAATCCACCTTATCTGGATAGAATTCGTCGTCACGATACTATCCATGCGACAAAAGTATCCGACACGACGTGCGACTTTTGTCAATCTAGTCATCCTTTAGTAGATTGTTCCAAATTTAAATCTCTTATCCCTGATGACAGATTGGCCTTCGTAATGAAGCTGCGTCGGTGCTTTCGGTGCCTAAAGAAAAAGAATCACCGGTGGAAATTATGCAAGGAGGTGTGCGGTGTCCGTGGTTGCCGCGCTTCTCATCACGCCTTATTACACGGCGCTTCGTCAACTATCAAGACGTCGCCCCCACAGGTACCAATGCCTGTTATAGCCGAGGTAAACACTGCCCATGAACCACCGTCGGCCAAACCGGCGTCAACACCGGTCATAACTGAGGTAAACAATACTCATGAACCACTTTTGTCTCGCAAAGTGAATACGAAATCCGCAAAACGTCACGTGTTTCTCAAAATTGTCCCAGTGGTTGTTTCCGGACCTAAGTGTGCTGTAGAGACTTACGCACTTCTGGATGAGGGGTCTACTGCCACTCTCATAGATCAGGTCTTAGCCAATCGTATCGGCGCAACCGGGCCCGCTGGTGACATACGCGTAGAGGGCGTAGGCGGAATGTTTAGAGAAGAAAAAGTAAATTTTGTTTCATTTCACATTCGAGGCAGATACCAAGCCGAAAGTTACGAAATCACAAACGCGCGTTCGATGCCTAACCTCGCTCTCTGTTCACAGTCAATATCCACTCAGGACCTTACTGGTTGTGATCATCTTTCGAGCGTTGCGGAGCAGTTGACCTACGAAGAAGCTCAGCCTATGGTTCTGGTAGGCGCCGCTGACTGGCCTCTCACTATCTCGCGAGAACTGAAGACTGGACGACCTTCGCAACCAGTAGCTTGTCTGACTTTTCTTGGCTGGGTGCTCCACGGTGTGTCGGACAGTAGATCGAAACCAGTAGCCTTTGTGAATCACACTTTAGAAAGCAACCATGAGAATCTAGAATCCTTAATTAAAAAACAGTTTGAAATCGACGCCTTAGGCGTTTCTAAATATTCTAGATCCTATGGTTCCCAACACAAGCGTGCCTTACAAATTTTAGACTCAACCACTCGTAGATTACCTAGTGGTAGATTTGAAACTGGTCTAATCTGGCGCACCGATGAATTTTATGTTCCTGACACTTATTATCAAGCTATCACTCGGTTGAGAAGTTTAGAGAAAAAAATGCTTTCAAACAATGATTTCGCCGTCGCTTACAAACAGCAAGTCGACGCGTTGCTGTCAAAGGGTTACGCTGAACCTTGTGACACCAACCATGACTATATTGTAAAACATAGCAAAAGTAAATTTTTGTATTTACCACATTTTGCAGCTATACATCCTCAAAAGAAAAAGTTGCGTCTCGTTCATGATGCGGCTGCTGCCACAGATGGGGTCAGTCTTAATTCTTTATTGCTTTCTGGCCCAGACTTACTACAGTCACTATTAGGAATTTTGTTTCGCTGGCGGGAAGGTAGGGTGGCCATGATGGCGGACATAAAAGAAATGTTCCCACAAATAAAAATCAGGTTGCAAGATAGGGACATGCAACGATTTCTTTGGCGGGAGGGTGGTAACCCTAACGCTCCCATCAAGGAATACCGAATGAGCTCTATGATCTTCGGCGCCACTTCTAGTCCATGTAGCGCAATTTACGTTTTGAATAAAAACGCTACCGAAAATTCCACTAAATATCCCGATGCTGCAAAGGCCACCCTAACCAGTACGTACATGGACGACTACGTAGGAAGTCTGGATGATGTACATCAAGCCTCTCAATTAGCAGCTGACATTGTAACTCTCCATGGCTTAGCTGGCTTCGAGATGAGGGGCTGGATCTCCAACGTCCCGGAGGCTTTAAATTTAATACCTGCAGATTTGAGGGCAGCCTTTACTTCAGTCGACAATATCTCGGCAGTCCCGGCACACAATAATATTACAGTTTTAGGTCTAAAATGGGACACAAGCTCAGATCATTTTAGTTTTGGTATAGATTTCGACCCAAAATCTGTTCTAACTAAGCGTGTCGCACTGTCGCAAGTTATGCGCCTGTACGACCCGCTCGGTTTGCTATCCCCGATAACCATCCAAGGCAGAATAATTTTCCAAAAGGCTTGGCGATGCGGATCTGACTGGGATGAACCCTTACCAGCCGAGCTATGTAGCCTGTGGGAGTCCTGGTCGCAAAGCCTTTCGGAACTTGAAAATATAAAAATTCCAAGATGGTATTCCGGAAATATAGGTTTCGTTGAGCGTGAGCTTCATGTTTTCGCAGACGCCAGCGAGCTGGCTTATGGTTGTGTTGCCTATTGGAAATTTCTCGACGCTCATAACGGTAACGTGAAATTGACGCTCATCGCTAGTAAATCTAGAGTGACTCCACTGAAGCCTTTATCGATACCGCGACTTGAATTGCAAGCAGCGCTTTTGGCGGTACGTTTGGCGGCTACTATTACCTCCGAGCATACCGTCAAACCGGCTAAGCGTTATTTTTGGACAGACTCTATGAACGTCCTCGGATGGCTACGAAGTGAGGCCCGGTCCCTTAAACCTTTCGTCGCCAACCGAGTTGGAGAGATCTCCGCTGAGTCAGAGATTTCGGAGTCGAGGTGGGTACCTTCAGCCCTTAACGTAGCTGATGATGTTACTCGCGTTTCTAAAGGTATCCCACCTCGTTGGTTTTCAGGACCACCTTTTTTGTTATTGCATCCGAATGATTGGCCAACGGAGGTTCCGCTCTCTAGCGAGATCACAAATTCGCCTCAGTATCGTCGTGAATTTAAAATGCATGACGCAGTTAACACTTTGACAGGTACCGACCCTCAGTCGGTCCCTGTGTTGCCAGCCTTGGCACCAGACCCCTCGCGTTTCAGTAGCTGGCTGCGATTGGTTCGTACAACCGCTCGTGCGTTCCAATTTTTAAATAAACTTCGCAGTCGTCTAAATTCAAAATTTGGGGTACCTATTTCGGCAAAAATTTCTTTATCAACTCTGTCATCTCAACCTTCCATTCCGTCTCCTGCAACGTCTCCCCAGTTATCTCCACTCAATTCAGAAGATGTTGATCATGCCGAGCTTCATATTTTGCGGCAGAGTCAGTCAGAGTCCTTCCCTGAAGAGTTGAAGAGTCTCAGAGCTGCCACACCTATTTCGAAGCGGAGCAAATTAAAAAATCTTTCTGCGGCGTTAGATGAATATGGAGTCATACGGCTGTTTGTTCGTATATCTGTCGTCGAAGATGTTCCTGATACCGTGAAACGGCTGATTATTTTAGACGCTCGTCATCCTTCCGTTCGCCTTCTAGTCGACCATTACCACAGAAAAGCTGGCCACGCCTTCCAAGAGCAGGTAATGAACGAGATCCGTCAGAAGTACTGGGTCCTACGGCTGCGTAACCTTGTCCGAGCCGTTGCAAGAGAATGTCAGTTCTGTTGTGTGCGTCGCTCTCTGCCGATGGCACCGCAGATGGGTGATCTCCCAGAGTGCAGGCTTGCCCATGGACGCCGACCTTTTACTTATACCGGCCTTGATTACATGGGCCCTGTCCAAGTGACCATCGGCAGAAGATCTGAGAAAAGGTGGATTGCCTTATTTACATGCATGACCACCAGAGCCATCCACTTAGAGATTGTCGGCTCACTCACGACGGAAGCTGCCCTGATGTGTATCCGAAGGTTCATTGCGCGGAGAGGTACCCCAACAAAATTTATATCTGATAATGGAACGGCGTTCGTTGGTGCCAAAAACGAGCTTCAGAAAATCTATCGAGAGGCAAAGGAAGACTGCGCAAATCGTGGGATGTCGTGGGACTTCATTCCACCAGCAGCGCCACATATGGGAGGAGCCTGGGAGCGTCTTGTGCGCAGCGTGAAGGTAGCTCTGAAAGCGACCCTGTTAGAACGAAGTCCAAGAGAGGAGCTACTGCACACCGTTCTACTGGAAGCCGAAGCGCTAGTTAACAGCCGCCCACTTACCTATGTGTCTTGCGACCCTGATGCACCAGAAGCCCTTACTCCTCTCCATTTTATATTAGGAAGCTCATCAGCCTACCATCGTATTCCTCTGGAGTTGGATGACAGAACTCTCATGAGACGGAGCGACTTTAGGAAAACCCAACGGTTGGCTGACCTATTTTGGTCAAGATGGGTACGTGAATATCTGCCCTCGCTTCTACCAAGGAGGCAGGGAAGGACCTCTGAGTCAGTTTCTTTAGGGGATGTCGTCATTATCTGTGACAACAACCTGCCTCGAGGCACCTGGCCCCGCGGGAGAGTGGTGAGACTATTTCCCGGCAGAGACGGGATAGCAAGAGTTTGTGACATTCAAACTAAAGGAGGCCTACTACGACGTCCTTTCACCAAGCTGGTGAAGATAGCCAGCAGTAGTGGTTCTACCACTGAAGGGGGGGATGTTGCAGAACCATGTAGGTTTCATGCTCCATAGTGTATTTTATATTCTTTTTGATATTGTTTTACTTTTGTTTCTTTTCTTGTCAATAAATTATTACTACAGTCCACAAGAATCTTTGATTCCTTTTCAACAGTTTAGCCTTATTTTGTATCGATATATCGAACAAAAAATATCGATATATCGCTACATCGATATATTTTCAACAAGCCTAGAACGGAACGTTGACGAAGTGTCAAAATTAATTTAACCGCAACCGATTTTATACATTTAAATTTTAAGACTAAAGTAGAAAATTGATTAAAACATTTTGTCAGCATCTGCTTGCTTCAGAAAAAAAAAGAATTTGAAAATAATGAAAGAATCTTCCTTTTCTTTTGGTTGGTTGTTTGCGTACTGTTTTACTTGTATGTGATAAAAATATTAACATTAAATAGTATAAAACAACCAATTGAAATACTTTGATTATGGGGGTTAAGGGCTTATGGACTGTCCTAACTCCATACAGCGAAAAAAAGTCCTTGTACGAGGTGGGTATGGGGATCAAATAATTTGATCTGTTCAAAGCTGGTAAAATTATTAATCAACTAATAATAAATATTTTAGATTCGTGGTGAAACTGTTGCGGTAGATCTATCAGGTTGGGTTTGTGATAGCCAAAATGTAACAGATTACTATGTGCAACCTAAACTTTATCTAAGGTATTAGTTTAAAAATATTTAATGTCCTGCTATGATTTCTAAATCAATATAAGTTCTTACCTATTTATGTTTTTAATACTAAAATTACAACCAAGAATTCTTTTTTTAGGAATTTATTTTTCCGGACAATTTATTTATTGCTAGCAGACATAACTCCTATATTTGTTTTGGAAGGAGAAGCTCCAGAGTTAAAGAGGGATGTAATGGCTGCCAGAAATGCTATCCAATTTAAAGGAGCAGCACCAAGAGCTGAAACTACAACATCAAAACCAGATGTTGGAAGAAAAAGATTCAGAAATGTCCTGAAAGAAGTTTGTAATTCCCATTTTATTGTTATTTAAGCATTAAACAAAATTAAATTTTACTGTCTAAATTCAACTTGGTCCAGGCATCTGACAGGATGGGATTAACTTTAGATTTGTAATTTCTGCTAAAGTAAATTAAAGTAGCTTGATATACTTTTTATAATTTTAAATGTTTTTTTTAACAGTGTGAGAATCTGCTCAGGACTATGGGAGTGCGATGTATTAAAGGAAGAGGTGAAGCAGAAGCTACATGTGCACAACTAAATGCTCAAGGTGTTTGTATTTCATTATCATATTTATTTATCAACAGATTGATATTCCCACTGAAATCTATATGTTGCATATTGTTGTGTCAAACCAATATCTGCTATGTGCACTTTTTGGAGATTTCAACATTTTAATCATTATGACTAGTATACAAAGCAAAGACTGCTAAGCAAATCTAAGCATTGTAATGTTGAACAGAGTTTGCTTAAAATATATACTATCTGCATTAGCCAGAAGTCAAATATTAAACGCTTGTTTTAAAGATATATTTTTGCACATTACAGGTATTGTTTGTACAATAATTTTAAAAAGATTTCCTGCAGATGGAATTACATAAGAAATACAGTTCAATTGAATAGAATAAAATGTGTCTCTCTCAAAACTACACTTTGATATAATATGTGTGATGGCACAGAATAGGCCAGAATAAAATTGGCATAACAGGACTTGCTTTTACCTCTTTACAAACTTAGTGGAATGGGAATCCAGAACCAGAAGAAGTAGGTTTCACAATCAGGATTTCAAGATCATACAATTTATTTTAGATTGTTCCATTTTAAGTTAGAATTGTTATAATTTTTTGTTCTATGCAGTTGGTAGATGCAGTGATATCACAGGACTCCGATTGCTTTGCTTATGGTGCCCATCGTGTGTACCGCAACTTCAGTGTATCAAATGCAGCTGGTGGCGGTGCGATGCAGGGTTCAGTGGACTGCTATGATGCTCAACAGATGTTCTCTGCAATTGGTAAGATAACAAGACGAGAGAGAAGAGAAGATGGAACATCCACTTTTAATTCTAAATTTATCTAGATAAACAATGACTACATAAACAAAAGAAAACGTTGAAATATGCTTTAAAACGTCACAAATAACTTATATAACAGAAAAAGGAGTACCTTATTACTAAACTGTTTAGTAATAACTAAACAACAATCTCTTCTAGGCAACCTGGGGGGAAGAGAAGGATAATATATTATATTAAAACTTTTTGATTAGTGTTTGTCTATTTATTAAAATAAGCTATACTAATAATATAAATATACTTAATAGGCTAACTATTACTTACTATCCATACTAATATTATAAATGCGAAAGTGTGTCTGTCTGTCTGTTACCTGTTTGCACTTCAACCACTGAATTGATTTAACTGAAATTTGGTAAAGATATAGTTTGAGCCCAGGTAAGGACACAGGACAATTTTTATCCCAGAATTTATTTATTTGTTAGCCACACCAACAAAAATACACATACAAAAAACAAATACAAAATTCACAATAATAGTACTTGATGTGCACACTTATTAAAGGCATGTACAACATTTATAATTGTCTTAATCAACGTCAACAATTACAATTTTAAAGGAAAAGAACAAATTTATAATTAAAATCAAAATTAAAAAATAAAATTAAAATCAAAATTAAAAACCAAATTAAAATCCAAATTCATCCTGAATAAAATTGAATTAAGTAGGTGAAAGGGGAGCGGGAAGTTTGTATGGGAAATCAATTAAACCACATAGACTAAGGCCCGTTTTATATTAAGATTCTCAGTGATTGATCTAGTCTTGAGCATAGAAAGGGATGTCGCTATATATAGCACATAGCGACATCCCTTTCTAACTGTACTCAAGTAAAGATCAACACTTAGTTGTCATTCTGTAATATGGGCCTAAGTCGTACCCACTAGTTACTACATAAAATAAATTACTTATTATATTTCCTTACAGGATTTGGTCGTAACAAGATGGTGGCTCTAGCGATGCTTTGCGGTTGTGATTATGGTGTGGGAGCTTGTGGCAGTTCGATAACTACTGTTGTCTCCTTCTTGCATACGGTCACCGATAACGAAATAATACCAAGGTAAAAATAACAAATTTCTAAATTTTTTAAAGAAATTTTTAGTCTGTGTATTGTTCGCATTCATTGAAAAATAAAAAATCATTTTTTTATTAAAATATTATATTGAAAATTTCATTTAAAGTTAAATATTTAATGTAAAAACTATGCAGAATCAGAACATTAGTTTTGTTCTTCCCCAAGGTTGATATCGTGGGTGAGTGACACTAGTCGTTACGATGAATTAACCCGTTGGTCTGCCGCCCCGGGTCGATGCGACCGCTGCGGTCACGTCGGAAGAACGCACCTCAAGAACGGCTGCCCCGTATGTGCCACACACAAAGGCTGTAATGACCTGGGGCATAAGTAAGTATTTGATCAATGAAAATTTGTAATTTTTCGCTCTTCTCAATCAACTAACGCTCATCTACTTTGGACATTAGACCCGATAGGATTAGAATCTGAATTGATACAGCGTTTACTGGTGAATTGGAAGCTAAATATGAATATAGTTTGTGTTAACATAGCTGATTGTAAAAGTCTAGCAATAATCGATATAACAAGCGCCAATGAAGAAACTGATCCAACAAGGTAATACGAGGTATTTTGCCCCTATATAGCACATTATTACTGACACAGTGTGCGAGAGGTTAAGAACGTATTGCGTCGTCATTTTGGATTCGGGTTTTTATCGGCGTAAAGCCTCGATGACACAAGGCGAGTTTATAAGCTACAAGCCAGCAAGTTCGCTAGCAGCTTGTAAACTCGCCCCGTGTCACCGGTTTTTTCACCATCTGCTACTCGATGATACGGGGTGAGTTTACAAGCTACTAGCGAACTCGCTGGCTTGTAGCTTGCAAAGTCGCCCCGTGTCATCCAGGCTTAAGTTATACAATCATACCTCATTCCAAACTCTAAAGGCGCTTGTGAACGAGACGATTACTACTCTGTACCCGTAGCATGAGCAACACAATTTACATTATATACCGTTTTTTATCGCGTCTAACTGTCAAACTCCATTGTAATTTGACAGCTTTGTGATAAAAACGAGCTATTTATCATATCGTAGTGCTCATGCTAGGGGGGCTGGTCTAGACAGGGTTTAGGTTTGTTAACAACATCGGCGCTAGCCACAGTATCCCAAACAGTCGCAAGTGTGCCATACCAAACTGACGATCGGACGTAGACTTGTTTAAAAACCGCGTTGAGACCTAGGTACAAATCGTCTAAATAACAAACGCCCTAATATCCCAGGTTTAATCATGAATAATTATTCCGTTAATCAACCGAAATCAAAAAGTAGGAGGTTCGTGATTCGACTGTATGTTGTTTTGTTACGTGATAATTCCGTCAATCTAGGGTAGGTATTTACGGTTTTTGTATGTATTTTTATTCTATTCGCACTTTTGGTGTTTCATAAATGTTTCTTGCAACACGAATGCTTCTTACTTCGAAATTCTCTATGTTTATTTTATTCGAGCTACACAGTAATTGGATTATTTATGTTTTCCCGGGGGAGCTCGATGGCGCAAGTGGTTAGCGCGTTCGGCTGCGATCGTTGAAGTTAAGCAACTTTCTCAGTGGTCAATCATTGGATGGGTGACCAAAAATTTACTATCTCGAGCTCCTCCTTGCTTTGGAAGCCACGTTAAGCCGTTGGTCCTGCACATCTGCATCTGCAGCCGTTAGCACCCACCAATCCGCACTGGGCTCGCGTGGTGGGTCATACCCAATCTCCCTAATCCATCCATAGGGAAGGCGTGTGCCCCAGCAGTGGGGACATTAATATGCTGATGATGATGTTTTCCCGTGACAGAGCAAAATTAACTGGTGTAAAGCGCGAGCTATCACTTCGTAGTCGCGCCCTGTCTTGCGGGATGCCGTTCCCGGAACCTAGGATAATGAAGGAGTTCTTGAACACCGCTCCCGAGAACATAGATCTGGATAAATTGAAAACTCCCGCTCCGAGCCTTATACAATTTATGGTAATATAATTATAGTTTTTGATAAATACGTTTTAACCTAAGTACCTGTTTCTCAAGCTTATTGATGTTTAAAGACAGTTTTCGTTAAGTTGGACTCAATAGTTACTTGCAACTATTAAAATTTTTAAAGGACGGAGTAAAGTTAAATTTGTACTAGCCATTTCAATTAATAGAGTAAATACCTCAGTACCAATTGAGTATGAACTAACTACGAGAATATCCTGGTATAAGTACCCCAAGCACGAACATCTAGCGAGAAAGTATTCGTGTCGCCATATCAAAATTTCTAAGGAAAAAGCCAGTTTGTGCTTGCGTCTGGTAGGGGCGCTCCTTTATGTCCAGTTGTGGTGGCGATACGAATACGGATTTGTCAAAGTTCGTCCTTTTGGTACGGGGGTTATTAAACCGCAATAGTACACAAACTCTCATGACAGTAATACTATAGTTTTATTAAGTATCTAATGGGCTTATTTAGATTTCTGACTCGTATATTCAGACTTATATCAACGTGTTTCTTTTTTCAGAATCTAATGACTAAAAAGTTAGACTGGACTGAGAGATACTGCGTGGTGAAGTTTTTACCTCTGCTGACGAAATGGCATCTTCAAAATGATGTGCCATGTAGAACCATCAAACCAGTAGCCATAAAGAAGAAAAGAAATCCGCGAGGTCAGTATAACCGTAACTGGGGTCCCATCTATCTCTATACTAGTGGAATAAGTGACTTGGGTAGGTTATTTTTTCTATTTAAATAACATAAGGTAAGTAGGTAGTTTTGATTTGAAAATGCGAGTAAAAATTATTTTTTTCATAATTATCAACCTATTGATGTCCCCACTGCTGCGACACAGGTCTTCTCTATACCTAGATGAGATAGGGAGATTGGGACGTAACCTATCATGTAGGCCCAGTGAGTATTTGTAGGTGCAAATGACTGCAGATGCAGTCTTCCGAAAAAAGGAGGAGTTCGAGATATAATACATTTTTAGGGGTCCTTATCTCAAAAGGAAAAAACGGATCCCTTATAGGATCACTTTGTTGTCTGTCCGTCCATCCGTCTGTCAAGACCGTTTTTCTCAGGAACGCTTGGAGTTATCAAACTGAAATTCATATCTAATACTCATGTCTACTGTCCCTTGGAGCTGTGAAAAAATTAAACTTCTAAGCCAAAGCAATCCAAAAAAACAGCCGTTTATGCCGCAAAGGAGATTGCTCAGCTTCCATACATGTTTGGCCTAAAGACCAATAATCATGAAAAATTGTTTCCTAGATTCGAAATTATATATAAATTACTGTAGAAACGAATATTATTGACGGACATCCCTGAGAACTTCTATAAACCATATCCACCGAATGATTTTGAGGTTATGTTTGCAAGTACATTGGTATTAAAATAATAAAAAAAAAATAAGTAGGGAAATCAAGCCAAGTACCGAAATTACTTTTTAGATTTAGGTATATAGAGCAGGTTGATTAACAAATAGTTGCCTGTTTATTAAGAGTAACTCTTAAAATCAGGTATTATCTATGCATTTCCGGTTTTAATAAGGTACTCTGTGACAGAAACTGTGTGATGATTGTGAATGAGCCACAGATTAGAGAGAATTTTTCGTTAATTTAGTTAGTTAAACTTCATTATTTTTGTTATGTTTATATAAACATAACAAAAATAATAATATACTTAACAAAAATAATAATAGTAATATATAAGGTGTTAAAATTCTGTACACAAAGTTGACGTGACACAGTAGAAATCATCGAACCGAGCGTTTTGGCGGTAAATTCAAGACCAATTAAAAATAAATTCTACTTTAATTGTTTTAATGGAGAAAAAAAGACATTAATTAATTCATTTTTATTTTTCTGTTAAATCGTTAGTCCCAATCTCTAAATATAAGTAGTTTTCGTATCTTTTCGACATTCCCAAGTACTTCTAACAGCTTAGACTGAATTAACGATATTGATTTTTATAGAATTTCGCTTTAATTATAATAACTGCAGTGCTCCATAAACAACCATTGAGAATGTATTCCTATCGCCATCGTCATTTTCATCAGTTTCTATGGAATACTAAGCAGCGTCCCTACCGGACGTAAGAACAAACTTGCTCCTTCCATAGAAACTTTGAAGATGGCGATACGAAACTCTCGCTAGTTGTTCGTGCATGCCCAATACGTGCAAAAAAATTCAGTTTACTTTATTATGAGAGATTCAGTTCGGATTTTTCAATTAACTTTATATTTTAAGTTTCAAAGTTCATTATCCATTGGCTTTTTATTACAGGAGTGCCTAGCTACGAAGTTGTATGGGCAGATATAGACGGACAGTTTGAAGGTTTAATTCCTGATGATCAGATTGAAGGTGAATTGACAATTCTTTAAATTTTTCTTTGTAATTATATTGATTTAAATATTGAACAGTAAAAAAAATCGGGCAGAAATGATTTTTTACAATAACTTAAAAACCATTATTATTATTCTATCCTGACTTAAAATGATTTTATAAACATCAATAAATAGATAATATTTTTAAATGTCGTTTTAAATATTGTTTTATGATACTAAATAAACAATGTATTTTTTTAAATCGCACTAAATTTGACGACCTCCGTGGCCGAGTGGTTTATACGCCGGGTTTCATGGCGTCGCCGACTCGAGAGGGTTCAAATCCCGGTGGGGGCAGATGTTTGTGTGATGAATACGAGCATTTGTACTCCAGTCATGTATGTTTAATATGTATTTCATATAAATATACTTATATATGTACAATATATGTATTCTATCCGTTACCCTAGTATCCCATAACACAAGCCTTTAAAGTGCTTACTTTGGGGCTAGGCTAATTGGTGTGTTGGAAAAAAAAAAAAATAGACGCTCCTTGTGCCAAGTTGTTATTAATTACGAAATTGTTATTTTATTGATATGAGTGGCAAACGAAATATGTCTATTAACAGGTCTGTTGTCTACATAAAATCTTTCCTCTTATAGAAGGCGAAGATCTATCCACATATTGGACAACCACCGAAAGACAAGATCTGATGAGACAGTTTTATCCAGCCGTTGTCGAAGTTTATGAGGATTCTATAAAGAAACCACCAAAAGAAAAGAAAACTAGAGCCAAAAAGAAGACTGATGTAGAAAATCCAGAGAAACCTAAACGTAAATACAACAAGCGAGTTAAAAAGCTTATCGACACCGAAATGGTTAATCTTAGTGGATCACTTAAAAAATTAGATTTGACAGACACTGCGCCTGACCTCAATACAAGCAAAGCCAATGTTAGTGTTAGCATCAATAAGTTGAAAAGAAAAATTAAGAGCAATTCTAAGAAGGGAAAACAGAAAACAATAGACAGTTTTATAGGTAAGAAGCGTAGGAAATCTTCGAAAAAGACGATGAATATGGGATCTTGCAGCTTTAAAAAAATATGTGATGAATATGACAATGCAAATGACGATTTGGTGCAAACAGAACGAGTTAAAGATGTAAAAAATAATACACATAATAAAGAAAATATATTCTCAATCAGCATGTTAAATGACAGCGAAGGTGATGTTAACGGAAGTGATATATCAGACATTATAGACAACATTGTAAAAAGGCCTCCAGAAATTAACACAATCAGAGTTGACAATAATTTAATGAAACTTGTCTTTGAAACAAGAAATACTCCCAAAAAAACTATTTTAAGAAAAAGTGTATTGAATCATATACAGAATAATTGTTCAACACCAAAACAAAGTTCTGTTAAAGGAAGAAACTCGAATAAAGATAACATTGATAATGAAATTGAAAAAGTGTCTTATTGTGCAGTGAATACGAGTTATTTCTTTGATAAGTTGACTGATAACCGCGACGCTTTTGAAATGTCTCTTGATTATAAACATAAGAGTGCTATAATTGTAGATTGCGATACAACAGTAGATTATAGTTTACCTGATGTACGCTTGTGATATCTGAATCATGTTATATGTGTGCTGTGGGGTTTTGGATTTTTTGATAAATATAACAATAGACCAGGGTCGATAATTTTTGAGACCAAAAAAAATTATAGTAGGATGAAACCCATTAGAAAAGGTAGAGAATATAACAAAAATGAAAGGAAAAATAAATTACGGGCGATCTGAGGTCGGGAAGGGGGAGGGGGTGAGTTTTTAAGGGTAAAAAATGGTTAATCTCGATTTCCGGTAAAACTGCAAGTCCTATGAAAAAAAGTTAAATGGCAAAGTTGTAGGTAATAAAAAGATCTACAACTTTTGTATTAACACTTTTTTCACATAACCTCAAAATTTATGTGAAAAATGCGAATTTTTGGTTTTTGATTTTTATTTTTTGCAAAAAAAAATATTTTTTCACGAAATTTGGTGAAAACTTACCTTTGTATGTCCCAAACATACAGTAATTTTTTTGATTTAAAATATTCATTTTTTCGCCTTATTTTGACTTAATATCGAAAAAGCACCCTCATTTTCAATCGAAAATTCTCACGTCAAAATATCTGCTTTTTTAAAAAGTTGGGGTGTTTTTTGTTTGTTGAAATCTCTACTTTCTGATGGTATAAAAAAAATATACACTGCTATGGTAAATGTTCTCAGAAACTGCAAATTAATAATGAAAAAAACTCCAATCCGAAAAATTGATTTGAATCATTATGTATAATTTTGAACTATTTATTAAAATTTACACTTTGATTACTCGAAAAACGTAAGATTTCATGTTATATTGATAAACAGAAAAATTACAAATCCATAAAACATGCAAAAATAGTTGTTGTAAGTAGGTATTGAAAATAGGATTTTCGGATTCGAGTTTTTTTCATTATTAATTTGCATTTTCTGAGAACATTTATCATAGTAGTGTATATTTTTTTTATACCATCAGAAAGTAGAGATTTCAACAAACAAAAAACACCCCAACTTTTTTAAAAAAGCAGATATTTTGACGTGAGAATTTTCGATTGAAAATAAGGGTGCTTTTTCGATATTAAGTCAAAATAAGGTGAAAAAATGAATATTTTAAATCAAAAAAATTACTGTATGTTTGGGACATACAAAGGTAAGATTTCACCAAATTTCGTGAAAAAATAATTTTTTGCAAAGAATAAAAATCAAAAACCAAAAACTCGGTTATTCGCAATTTTCACATAAATTTTGAGGTTATGTGAAAAAAGTGTTGATACAAAAGTTGTAGATCTTTTTATTACCTACAACTTTGCCATTTAACTTTTTTTCATAGGACTTGCAGTTTTACCGGAAATCGAGATTAACCATTTTTTACCCTTAAAAACTCACCCCCTCCCCCTTCCCGACTTCAGATCGCCCGTAATTTATTTTTCCTTTCATTTTTGTTATATTCTCTACCTTTTCTAATGGGTTTCATCCTACTATATTTTTTTTTCACTTTTCACCATTTTTAAAATTATCGACCCTGGTCTACAAGTATTACTAGAAATTTCTAATAAAATATAGGGATTGTATATGATTATTTTTATAAAATACAGTAATAAATTATTAGTAAAAATATTTATATTTTTCACTTTAAGAGGTCGTCTTATTAAATACATATTATATTATATTTATACGCGTGTAGCGAAAATAACAAAATGAGCGCTAAATACAAACTATGTATTGTGCACGTGCTAGATGATTTTGCAGTTATAAATACAAGTACTGCATTTAAATCTTAGTGATACTGTAATCCCGGAAAGTTGATCAAATTATCATTTTATCCAAATAAGGCAAAAGAACAAAAATATGTCAAAAGAAAAGCTCGTTTTATTCCTATTTTTAGGTTATACTTTAAAAGTTATATAACAGAGATTTCTTGATTACCTATCAAGAAATATGTTGATTGCGTTCTGCAAGTAAGAAGGCAATAAAAAAATGGCCTGTACAAGTATTTGTACACTAGGAAGTTAAACAACACTATCGTATTAGGGTATTTTGTTGGGTAAGAACGATGGGTCAGGTTCGGGTAAGGATTTGCAATCCAGGCTGTTGTGCCTGTTTGCCATATTTCAGGTAAAAATATTTATTGATAGCAGTGGAGGTCCGTTTTTATAGTATTATTGGTAAAGTGCTGTTCCAGATGTGTAGTATTAGCATCCACCTTCCATGGTGTTATCAGTGTGTACAATAGTATGCCCAAGTAGAAGCACAGAAACCTTTCGTATTAAAGAGAGCTGTTTTCTCTTGTTCGCCTTGGCAGCCTAGAGGCGAGTACGTAGGTACACATGGTTTGGTGTCTTCTCTCACTCTCTTTCATCTTATCTTTGTCCTAAATTTGAACTTCCGGTAAGGTTTCTTGTGTTTGATATATGAAAGGCAAAAGTGCATTGTCCGCCTGATAGTTAGCAGTCACTGTGGTCTATAGACGCCTGCAACACCGGGAGTATCACACAAGCATTACTTCACGCCTCTTTTCTAGAAAACTATGCTATATTATTTTGCGAAAATCTCAACAAGCTTATACGCGCAGTACGTAGGCAACTACACACATCAAAAGTGTCTAGGGATCAACATATATTTTTGCAATAACTTTTCTCCTGATTGATATTAATTAAAATTTTCTTTAAGGATTCATCAAATAAAGTGTTTTCGTTTGTCACAGTAACGATAAACCAAGTCACCTTTGCATTAATAAAGAAATTTGCCATTTTCCTAATAAAGGGATTTTTGACATTTGAACCACTAACACAAAAGTTCGAAAAAAAGACTGAAATAACAGTTTTCTCTAAAATTTTATTGGGTAACTTAAACAATTAATAATCCGTATTTCTACCGCGAACACTAACAACACAAGAACATCGGTTTGGCATACTCAAAATGAGTTCATCCAAATCACGCTGTGGAATGGCCGCCCATGTTCGTTGCAACAACAAAAAAAGGTCTTCTTGCGACTGGATACCCTCCATATTCGGCAGAGCTCTTCTCTGTAGCATATCCCATGCATGCTCAATCGGGTTCAAGTCTGGCGACTGAGCAGGCCAGGGCAGGACATTGATGTTAGCTGCGGCGAGAGTCTGTCTTACAACTCTTGCGGTGTGCGGTCGTGCATTATCATGCATTAACTGAAATAAGGGACCGATTTGCACTTGTAGAGGAACGATGACGTCTGATACAATCGTCTCAGCATAAATTTGAGCGTTGAGGTTGCCTCTGATCCAAATCAACTCAGTTCTTCCGCCGATCCAAATACCCGCCCATACCATGATGGTTCCACCACTATAAGGATGGACTTCCTGGCAGGATTTTAATCGCTGTTGGCGTCCAGGGGTTCTCCAGTGTCGTATACGTCTTGTATCCGGTCTCATACCAAAACGAGACTCATCAGAAAAGCACACGAAACGCCATTGTTCTTCTGCCCAATTTCTGTGTTCAAGAGCCCATTGATATCGAATCCTACGATTGTGCATTGCTATAGGTGGTACCCGTAGCGGTCTTCGGGAATGAAGGTTCACTTCATGCAAGCGGTTTCTGACAAACAGTCAGAAATTAAGTTCCCTGAAGAGTGATGAAGCCTCACGGCTAACATCATGGCGGTTATTGTTGGAGCTCTTCGAGTTAAGATTTGAATGTATCGGTCTTGTCTCCGTGTGGTGCAGCGATACCGTCCTCCATGGCGCTCAGCCACGGTACCAGTGCTTCGGTATCGTGTCCAAAGTCGACTGATAACACTCTGACTTGTATTCAGAGCTAAAGCCACAGTACGTTGCCGGGAACCAGCTTCTATCATTCCCACGGCTCTGAGCATTTCTTCCCTGCTTAAATGACGTCGCCGCTCCATAATAACGTTGGTTTTAATCAGTAGTAGGGAAACAGTAGCACTAATAATGTCTTCAATGCGTTGTATGTTTTTATAGGGAAAATATTGACAGCTGATTTTCATCTTTTACTCGAATTTGATTCACAGTTCCTGATTCAAATTATGAAATGCACCAAAAAGGATCCATATAAATTTATAAAATCATAAATTTATTACAAAGCCACATCTCAATCTCAAGAAATCCGCATAAAAATGCTTGATCCCTAGACACTTTTGATGTGTGTATTTCAATGAGTGAGAATGAGTTTCCCTTAGGCACCTTCTTCATCGGGTCGGTGCGGGTTAGTCCTAACTAACATCCGCTACAACACAATTTTTAACAAGAAAAACAAAACTGCTAAAGTGACGCTTCCCGATCCCGCCAATAACTCTCGGTGCGAAATTATTTCGTTGTATTGACAGAAGTGAAAACGAAACGAGCACGCGCCGATCCGGTGAGGAGGAGGAGGAGGAGCATGAACGCTTTATATGGTGAGCCGTAAGGTGATAAATTTTGACTAAGGACATCCTATCAACCCAGAGGGCTCTACCTGGTACAAGAGGTATAATGGATATAAGACTAATACTCTCCTGAGGCTTAAGAGTTCAATACCGCTTGTGAGCTTCTGATGATAAACTATTCTCACAGCGCTTTTGAATCAGTCTTTCTACGATAACAGCTATAATTACAGCTTATGGCCGCAACAGACTCCTAAGGTATTTTTGTTACACCTTATGGCACCAATAGCTGCACTGTAGTTATATTTTTATCTGCTTTGCCACTTTTAGACGCATAAGGATTCGCATGGCATTTTGGACTACATTTGACTGCATTGGAGTTATAATTGCATATTTATTGACACTTACAGTTGCATTACGTTCCCGCATGAAACCGCTCTGTCATGTTGTTCTGCATAAGATAGGAAATTGTGATTAATTTACTTTTTACGGTTTTCGTGATGCGTGTGATGTAAAATTAGTTCCAGAGCTCGTAAATTACACTACTATGGAGTCTGCAGTGCTTAATGATAGGAAATAAATACTATAACTTTAATAATATTGTCTCAACTCTCATACATACTCTTTGATATTTTTTGACTTTCATTATAATAATTCGCCTATATTTGGTAAACCACTAAAAATAGTCATAGAATTAAAGAAAAGTGGCAGTTATAGGCAGTGAAGATATGTGTTTGTAT